GGGACCTCGCCTTGCTCTGAGAATCCTAAGGAGAGGTCGTGTCGCAGCCTTTTCTGAAAGAGGCCACAATTAATGTATACTGGGAATGTGTACTTGCTGTCAGAACTGAAATAACCATGTTGTGGTGTTTGGTGCTAAAATTGCTAAAACTATTAGTCTTGCTGTGTGTCGTGTCCTCTGATTCTGCAGAAGGGAATACATCTTCCAGATGATTTCTGGATTCTAGAAACTTTTCTTCCTGATTGGTGGCTGTGCCCACTCCTGATCTGATTTCGAAATCTAGGCAGCTGCCCAGTTACCCACGTAATAAGGGCTGCTAGCTTGCAGTGAGGCAAGCAGTTCCAAAGGAGCGGCTCCCAGCAACACTATATGGATGGGGGAGTGCTTTTTTTACCAGTCCCCCCCCACACACACACAGACACACTCTTCTTGGGGGTCCCGTCCCCACAGGAGCAGCATTTGGGCTGCAGTTAGCTTTGGTGTGTATGTGTGAAAGTCAGGTTCTGTGGACAGAAATCCCATCATAAGTGGACAGATTCACTGGGGATCCAAGCTTGTGTGGAACAGAGAAGGCAACTTGAGAAAAGCTTGATTTTCAAAGAAGTTCTTCCTTGCCACCAGTTTGGTGTAGTGGTTAAGTGTGTGGCCTCTAATCTGGGAGAACCGGGTTTGATTCCCCACTCCTCCACTTGCACCTGGCTGGATGACCTTGGGCCAGCCATAGTTCTGATAAGAGCTGTTCTTGCAAAAGAGCAGTTCCTGTCAGAGCTCTCTCAGCCCCACCTACCTCACAGGGCGTCTGTTGTGGGGAGGGGAAGGGAAAGGAGTTTGTAAGCCACTCTGAGACACCTTTGGGTAGTGAAGGGCGGGGTATAAATCCAATCTTCTCCTCCTCCTCCACAATCCTTTTTTTTTAAAGCAGAGTGTTTGTGTGTGTGTGTGTGTCTGTGGATTTTGGCGGTATAAAGGGCGGAGATACAGGAAGACCGTCTGCCCCCCTTTCAGTGCAGATGCTCCATGGCTTCTCGACGCTGCTCTTCAAGCCTCCTTGCTTGTGACATTTCTGATCCTCGGGGGAAGGTTTTTAAAGCCTCTCCAGCTCCAAAGGGCAACGCTAAGGTTTCCTCCGTTTCCGATGACTCAGCTCTCCGAGAGGGAGGCTTTCCAGATCAGATTTGATGGATGCTGCCAGCTGATGGGGCTATATTAATTCCCTCGGTCTCTAGAGGCTGCCGGAGCCCATTGAATAAACCACCTCTCAGCCCAGTGGCCAGAAAACGCAATGAAGGTGGTAGTCCTTGGGTGTTACCTGGAGAGAGCTTCCGTTACCAGTGCCGGGAGGGACCAGCTGCTTCTTTGCTTGCGGAAGGTCCCAGGTTCAATCCCCGGCATCTCCAGTTAAAAGTCCCAGGCAGTAGGCGACATGAGCGACCTCTACCTGAAACCCTGGAAAGCTGCTGCCAGTCCAAGTAGGCAGTACTGACCCTGACGGACCAGTGGTCTGATTCGGTGTAATGCGCCTTCATGGGTAACCATGTGTGGAAGGCAGCCTTAGGAGAGGGCCTCAGCCTCCATGCCCTGCTTGTTTGGCCCTCCAGGGCAACCAGCCGGCTACTGTGTGAATCAGGACGCTGGACTAGATGAATCAGTGCTCTGATCCATTAGATTCTACTCGTGTGATGTTCTTAATCCACTGTCGTTCTCATCTGGGCTGTACTTTTAGGTAATATATATATTCTTCTTCCTTGAGCTTGTAGATCAGTTAATGAGCTGAACATAAGTTGAAGTGGGGATGCAGGGTGGGCTTGTGAAAGACGAGGGAAAGGGGACTGAAGGGGAAAGTTAGAGGGAGGCTCAGCTTGAGGGCTGCCAGACTGAAAAGGGAAGGTTTCTAAATAAGCATTTAAACAAATATCTGAGTTCTCTCTGGGAAGGCAAACACTGGCCACATCTAGTCCAGCTTCCTGTTTCATACAGTGACCAGACAGATTCTCCCCCCCCCCCCTGCAAAGTAGGGTATGGAAGCGAGAGTTGTGTCTCTGGTCCTGTCCAGAGTTCCCTCTAAGCTGAGTTAGTGTGAGCTAGCTCAGTTTTTTAGCCTCCGGCTCACACATTCCTGTCTTAGCTCAGGCTCCAGAGCAAACTAATTTATGCAGTAGCCAAATCGCTTGCTCACAACTTTAATGCCAGTAGCTCACAAAGTAGCATTTTTGCTCTCAAGACCCCACAGCTTAGAGGGAGCCTTGTTCCTGTCCCTTAACAGCGGCATGAAAGGGTTACTGTCTCTGAACGTGGCAAATGGTCCATCAGTGGTTTCACACTCCACAAATCTACCTAATTTTGTTTTGAAATCAGCTAAACTAGTGGCCACTGCTGCATCCTATGATAATCCACCAGTTAAATTTCATTCTGTTTGTCCTGAATCTACAACCATCGACTTTATTGGGTGTCCAAATTCCAGTAGAGCAGAAGATAGTCTTCTTTCCATTTTTTCCATCCTATATAGCCACACTATAAACCTGTACTGTGCGATTACAGGACTGACCATCTTGTTTCTCAATCCTTTTTGTAAGTCTTTGGCTGTACTTCAAAAGCCTCAGTTAGTTTGTGTGTGTCCCATTCTGTGTATATAATAATTAAGAAGCACCCACCTATTGTATCTCCTGTTATTAAATGGCATGTTTTAAAGACATTATCAACACTCAAGAACAGATGGACTTGCTAAACCCTCTCTCTCTTTTTTTCTTCTGTGTTCCTCCAGGGAGCGGATGTTAACTGTATGCATGGCACGCTGAAGCCACTGCACTGTGCCTGCATGGTTGCAGATGCAGATTGCATCGAGCTGCTGTTGGAAAAAGGAGCGGAGGTAAGGACGGACGCAGAAAATCTGCTTGCCCATGAGGGACAGTCACAACAAATAGCAATTATGCAGCACTCCGAAGTGTGCCCATCAAGTCTTGAAAATCCTCCTGAGATCTAGTTTATCCCATACTGAAGGTGAGCCGAGGCTGTGGCAGAGTGTCCTGTCCCAGGCCAGCACCAGTGTGGTGCAGAGGTTAGGATTGTTGAACTAGTATTCGGAAGACACAGGTTCGAATCCCCACTTGTGCCATGGAAACTCTCTGGGTGGCCTTAGGCCAGCTACACTCTGTCAGTCTACCCTACCTCATAGGGTTGTCGTGCGGATAAAATGGAGTAGAAGAGAGTGATGTAAGCCAAGTCTCTTAGCCACTGCCCAATGTCAGCTCCCTGGTATCGATGCTAGGTTCTGTACGGCAGCATGGAAGGTCAGGATTTTTCACCTGTAAAAGATGGATGTGTGCTGCAAGTTACCTTGTTCACTTATGTTAACTGTAACTAAGGAATGCAGTAGAACATACTAAGGACTGGTTCAGGTGGGTAGTCATGTTGGTCTGAAGCAGTAGAACAAAGCTTGAGTCCAGGGACACGAAAACTTATACCCAGAATTAAACTTTTTGTCCTTAAAGGTGCCACTGGACTCAAAGTTTATATGAAGCACTATTACTCATAAATTACATGGAACTGTATGGGGAAAAGGACCTTTTCTGTCACCTCTGAATCCGGTAAACACCCATGTGGATTGGAAATAATCTGCGGTGACATCACATAGATATGTCCTTTGGAAAAATAAAACTAAAATAAAATTAGCATGAGGTTATGCAATTTTGTCATGTCGACTTGTAAACTATTCACTATTCTTCTGAAAGAATGTCATGTTAAACTTTGGAAAATATTGTTGGTCCCCTCGTTTCAGAACGAGGAAGAAATCCATGTATATGTTGCAGTGTCTAAACTAACGAATGGCTGGTTAAAGAAGGCAAATAACGCTGCAGTAAAAATAAACTGGAGTCTAGGGGAACCTTAAGGACTAAAGTATAAGCTGTAATAAAATTTTGTTCACCTTTAAAGACACAGCACGTACTCTGGAATTATTTGCACTGCTATAAGTTTGTTCAAACCTGTTCTTCCTTTATTAAATCCTGGAAAGTAAAGCCACATACCACCCATTTGATCTTTTGTACTCATTTTGTTGGTTTCTGGTGGTGTTTATAGAACTGAACTGTGGTTTTTTTATATATAACAAGAGAAGGGCTGTGGCTCAGTGGCAGAGCATCTGCTTGGCGTGCAGAAGGTCAGCGGTTGAATCCCCAGCATCTTATTAAAAGGACCAGGCAGTATGGTGGATGTGTAAGACCTCTCCCTGAAACCCTGGAGAGCTGCTGCCAGTCTGAGTAGACAATACTGACCTTGATGGACCAATTGTCTGATTCAGTATAAGGCAGCTTCATGTGTGCTCAAGCATCGAGATGATTTATATTCTATTTCTAAAATACTAACGATTCAGGAGAGGATGAGGCCAAACGTGCCACGTGCCTCCAGCATTTAGGGAAGGCATTCTGAGCTCGGCTCTTCTGGCTGCTGCACCACTAAAAGCTGGTTTGCCAACAAGCTTCCACTTGAATAAAATCAGTTCACTTTGTGCAGAATTCAGTATAATGCTAAGCGATTGAGAGAACAACTTCAGGTGTGCCTGTGGGAATGTTGAGAGCGTGACTCTTCTTTGAACTGCGGACTCTGTGCCTCGTCAAAAGTTGTTTTGGGGACATTCTATCTGCACATTACAAAGAGACGTGGTTGAATTCCCTTCCACAGTGGTGTAGAATCTTCTTACGCGATGTCTTCCTCAGCCCCCAACGTCCCAGTGCTGGTGGGTGCTGGCAGGGAAGGAGGGACACGCAAAGTCCTGCTGCCAGGGCTTGAGGAAAGCTGAACTAGACTTTTGTAGGGAGAGCAGGGAGTTTGATATGATTACTTTTGAGGGGGTAGTGGCCCTTTGTGTGTGTGTGTGGGGAGTCTGTACCCTTCCAGTCTTGGTCATTCTCAAGATTCCTTACATAACAAACTGAGGACTGGTTCCAGTGGGTAGTCATGTTGGTCAGAAGCAGTAGAACAAAGCTTGAATGACCTTAAATGACAATCTGATTAACATAAAATCCTTATAATAATGTTTGTGCATCATTATACTACAGCCTACATGATTACAAAGAGGCAGATTCTCAGGAACAGGAGATCTGCACAGCCAGTCAAATCTCCAGTAGCCTTGCTCGGCAGAAGTGCTTTTGAGGTGTGGATTCCTGCCCCCAGATGCCTGAATTTCAAAAATAGCTTGCTTTCAGCATTGCTGTGTTTTTTAACGGCCTTTGCAGATCCACAAGTGAAGCTTTTTTGGGTTTGCTGAAGTTGCTGCACAACATCTTTGCTCCATGGCTTAAGGTTGGGTTGGCAGCATTTGATGAAGCTTCCACTTTCCGTCAGCAGTGAACATTTATCTCAATACGCTGGGCCGTGGCCTCCCGCCCTGTGCTTTTTATGTTCTCTTGACTCCTGATAAAATGTTCACATTAACAGGGAGACACCAAGGTCACCAGTTGTGGTGTTCAAAAGAGAGAAAAGCTGGCAGTCTGATATTTTATAAGCAGTAGAGAGCCAATCTCATAAGCTTAGCAGGGCTGGTCAGTTCACACGAGTTAGCATCCTCTTATACCAGGGGTCCCCAACATGGTGCCCGCGGGTGCCGTCGCGTCTGCCAGCATCTTTTCTGGCACCCACTGATAGTTTTTAGAAAGTGGGTGGGAGCCAGATGGGCCTTTTGCCCAGCAAGGCTTCTGACTGACTATTGGAGATTTGACTGGCTGCACAGATGTTGCTTTGGCGGCAGCTGCCACCACACCACCACGACACGAGGATCTTCACTATGCGACTCAGGTTCAGTTGCAGCGATTGTTTTGTGGCTGGCTGTGCCTCCCGTGGCGTCCGTTTTGTGGCTTCCCCCACCACGCGGCGGCAGAATTCCAGAGGTGCCCGCAGGCTCAAAAAGGTTGGGGACTCGTCTTATGCAGTGTTTACATTTGAGGACAGAGGCCCAGAGAACACGAGGTCTGCTTTGCTTGGCCGGCCAAAAGTTCTCAGCTCGGCCACCTGTTGCCCCTCAGAAGTTCAAGGGCAGAACAAGATGACCGCAGCCATCCTTTACCGCATGCATACAGAGACGCTGCTTCTGAATGGGGAGTCAGGACAGCAGTGTAATCTTTGGACTCTTGAGACCTGTCGCAGTGTTCCCTCTGAGCTGAGTTAGTGTGAGCCAGCTCACAGTTTTTTAGCCTCCGGTTCACACTTTTTTGCCTTCGCTCAGGAAGGGATGGCTCCAGAGCAAACTAATTTATGCAGCAGCCAAATCGCTCGCTCACAACTTTAATACCCGTAGCTCACAAAGTAGAATTTTTGCTCACAAGACTCCACAGCTTAGAGGGAGCATTGGTCCCACGGTGAATTTTCAATTTAATGGGGCTTATGTGAAAGTACCGTGTGTTGAGGAGCTGTTTTGGTCTGAATTGTGGAGGGGATTTGAGCACTCCTGCCTTCCATCCTCTGACTGACTTTAAAAAAAAAAAAAAGCATGCTGGACAAATGCTGAACTTAAGTCAGTTTTTGTGACTAATCCTTTTAAGGTCTGTGTCCTAAAACAATCCCTTCTCTGCTTTTGCAGGTCAATGCCCTTGATGGGTACAACCGGACAGCTCTCCACTACGCAGCGGAGAAGGACGAGACTTGCGTGGAGATCCTTCTAGAATATGGGGCCAACCCAAATGCCCTGGACGGTAACAAAGACACACCGCTGCACTGGGCCGCCTTTAAGAACAACGCCGAGTGCGTCCGAACGCTTTTGGAGAGCGGAGCCTTTGTCAATGCCCTGGACTACAACGACGACACCCCCCTGAGCTGGGCAGCGATGAAGGGCAACCTGGAGAGTGTCAGCATCCTCCTGGAATACGGGGCAGAAGTCCGGGTGGTCAATTTGAAGGGGCAGACACCGATCTCCAGGTTGGTGGCCCTGCTGGTGAGAGGACTGGGCACGGAGAAGGAAGACGCCTGCTTTGACCTCCTGCACAGAGCCGTCGGGCACTTTGAATTGCGGAAGAACGGGGCCATGCCCCGCGAGGTCCTGCGGGCCCAGCAGCTGTGTGCAAAGCTCACCACCCTGTGCTCCGTCCCCGGCACCTTGAAGACACTGTCGCGCTACGCCGTGCGCCACAGCCTGGGAGTCCAGTTCCTGCCGGATGCGGTGAAGGAGCTCCCTTTGCCGGAGTCTCTGAAGGAGTATGTCTTGCTTAAGTAAAGGGGGGGGGCGGGATGTGAGCTTTGTGGGATTCCATTGCACAGATCAGCCGGCTCCTGCGCTGCTCCTTTCCCGGCATTTCGCACAGACCATCGAAGCAAATACGAAATAGATCCTGTAGCGCGCTCTCTCTGTAGCTTCGCCAGCAGAAGGGCTCCTTGGCCTGGCAGTGGCCGGATTGTTTCCCTCGGCTCTTCTGCCTTCGCTCCTTCGGCGGAAGCGGTTGGAAGATGTCCCCGGTGGCCCAGGAAGCCTCAAGCAACAGCCCTGCTGTCTATTTCCTGCAGGCAGATCTGCACCTCTACCCTGCAGGCAGATCTTTGTTAGAACCTTAGTGAAGACTTCTGCCGAGACTCGTTGACAGAAAGGGGGAAGGAGGATCGTTGTCCAGAGGGGCTTCTGATGGACGGCAGACTGACTTACTGGGGGTGTGTGTTAATGTCCTTACACGCAGTGAAGCCCTTGGGTGACCCTGCTTTCCCATTTCTAGCTTTGCGATTTGCAAGCCCCTACCCCATTTTGCTTTGTTAGGTGGCGGGAGTTGACCTGTCCCTTTCAGGGGGAGCAATGGCTTGATGGATCTGAGCGAGAAATCCGGGGAGGTCGTGACTTTGGCCACCTTCTCTATGTCTCTCCTGTTCACTCTGTTGGGAGGTTCCACTTAAGCAGGTGAGGGGCAGCCCTTCTGAAAGCACTACTGAATCATGGTGTTCACTTGGCTTTTTAAATTTTTGGCCAGACCTAGACACAGATTGGATGAAGACAGCAGAACTTTGAAGCATGACTTAATCCTGAGGGTGCGAGATATTGATTTGTGAATGTGCTCCCTCATTGGTAGGGGGGGTGGAGAATGGGGAGCAAACTTCCTGCAGATAGGAAAGTAGCATTTTGCCCAGTTCTCTCCTTGTGCTGGTCTTCTAGCATCGGGGGGGGGGGGGGGGGGGGGGGGGAGGCCTGACAGACAGGGCATTTCCACATCCACATTGTGATTTTCTTCACTAGCAAGTTCCTGTTTCTTGGGGGGAAGGTGTTCTGTTCTGCACGTGTTTTGTGTTTTGCTCCCTCTGGTGGTCAAGTTTGATGTCAGTCAGGTTTATGTCAGGCATAAAAACCTGCAGTTTAAATCTGCAGGGAGATATGCTGGATATAAACTTGTGTGATATCAACTCGACCACTAGAGGGAGCGAAACGTGTGCAGAACAGACACACACCCCCCCCCCAAGAAACAGGAACTTAAAAGCAAAGGAAATGAGAATGTGGAAAAGCTCATAGAGAAGCATTCACAATGGTACAGTTCATTCAGCTGCATGTGTAGATGCAGCCTTCGTTGATCAGGAGTTAGCAATAAGCGTCCCAACCAAGCCACCTTGGCTCACTGCCTGGAAAGTTGTAGATAATTTTTTTAAAAAAGTCTAGCCGTGAGAGCAGAGTCTGTCTCATAGGGTGATAGAGGCAGCGAGCTCTTCTCTGCTCCGTGTGTTTTGCAGATCTCATTCACAGCTCTGAAGCTTGTTAAGTCACACATTCTCCGGCTTGACTCGCAGCTCCAGAAGAAAGCTCTAGCTTACTGTATCCAGCCAAGCAATAGTGGCTCTTATCATATTCAGTCAACTCCTGGGTTGCCTTCACGCTGGACAGCTTTTTTTTAACAGCAGCTATTTTTTGCTTCATTTTTACTGTGTGTATATAAGGGGAGAAATTAAAAAAAACACTTAGAGGGACTTCCTTGCTTCTTCGGAGGAACTTTGGGTTCACTTTTGGGGGCTGTGCTTTCGGGTGATACCATCGTACTTCCCCTGTGCCCTGTAATATGGACTGCAATCCAGGTATTCCGGACTGTCCTCTCTCGCTTGGGAGGATCCTGCTGCCTGTACAGTGAGGTGTGGGGGCATTCAAGGCTGCAGAAGATTTCCCTGTTTCTTGTGGGGAGCATGGATGCACTTGTCGTGGGAGCTTAACTTTTCAGGGCCTGCCGCAGCTCCTTCAGGGGACATATAGTTTGAAAATCGCTGCCCTAATCTGTTAGTAAAGGTAAATATTAGCACGGGAATCACAACTGTGGGCTGCTCGTGCCATTTAATGTAAAGAGACGCATTTATGCCTCCAGTTTGAGCAACTAAGGAACACGGGGCTGCTGTTTCTGAATTCCGCAAGTCCTGTCTTTCGTATAAAGATGCTCACGTACCGCACAGCGCTCTTCTCCCCCAGAGCTGTGGGCCTGCCGAAGCACATGCTGAATATTCAGCATCCATACTCTTGGGAGGTGCGAATCATGCTGTGAGCCATGAGACCCCTTTTACAAGAGTCCCGGGTCAAGATATATTCAGCAAGGCAGTGATGATTCGTGTGGAGCATTAACAGTTTGTTGATTAAACTTGGGATGAGCTGCACCGAATTTCGTCTTCTATGAATGTGTTCGGGGGGTGAAATGTTTATACTGATCAGACTGTTTTCCTTATGCACTAGATAGCAGCAACACACCTTGTTTTGCTGAATGGGGAGTGCCCTCCTAAGGACTGGCAGCATATTAGCAAAAAGTCCCGGTACAATTCAGTGTAAAATGTGGCGCAGGCAGCTGCTTTCTCCTGTTGAATGTTCCATGCCTCCAGCTTTTTGAAGAAATTAAGCGTAGTACGCAGGAGATCAATGTTACCCTGGAGATCAGTGTTACAGCCTCTAGTTAAACAGCCCCCGTTTTATTTTAGAACCTTTGAAACTCTTTCAAGTACGGTGGGCGACTGCGAAGGTACTCCAAGGGAAGCTCGGAGGTAGTTCCTTTTTTATGTTCAAATGGAGAGTGGCAGTGTTCCCTCTAAGCTGAGTTGGTGTGAGCTAGCTCACAGTTTTTTAGCCTCCGGCTCACTCATTTTTGTCTTAGCTCAGGAAGGAGGGCTGCAGAGCAAACTAATTTATGCAGTAGCCAAGTCACTCGCTCACAACTTTAATGCCAGGAGCTCACAAAGTAGAATTTTTGCTCACAAGACTCCACAGCTTAGAGGGAGCATTGCTTACCAGCAGAAATGTGTTGCAGTAAATTCTGATGAGCTTGAATGAATACCTCTGTTTTGTGATCATTCAACTCCACAGAGGCCCACTGAATGGCCTAATCCTACAGCACTGATAATGTTAGAAGAAGGTGTGTTACTTGGCTGCTCCATAGGAGAGAGAGAGAGGCAGGGCTACTACGAGCTTTCTAAAGGAAGAATAATAGTATTCCTCAACTCATAAATGCAGTACCTTTTCACATACCAAAGTGTATAGGCCAATGTGAACTGGATTTTGCTTTTTTTAAAAAACCTCCTGTAGCAGATCCACAGCCCATTATTACAGAAGTACTAACTAGGTTGAGAGCCAAACACTAAGCTGGGGAAGGAAATAAATTCAGAATTTATTTCTGGTGCCCCTTCCTAAAGCATCTTTGTTTCAAGAGAGAGTGGGGGAGTTGCAGCCGCCTTCCCAGCTGCTCAGATCGAACCTTCACCGGATACCCTCTTGCGCGTGATGTGCTCTAAGTGGGCCGTCTCTGATGTATCCAGTTCAATCTTGTACTTGGCGAGGATCTTCAAGATGGGCTGCAGCTTCAGCCACCACTGCTCTTTAGGGATACGGTGTCTGTCGGGAAGAGAAGGCGGGTGGTCTCGTAAGAGGAAGGAGGCTAACGTTTTGGTGACCCCGTACCACGGGTTGGCCACAGCTTCTCAGTCTTTGCAAGATACTCAGCTGGACCCTGTAAGCCCAGTGCCCACTTATTTTGAACATTAAACAATAACAGCAGGCCAGTCATTTGGCACAGTGAGTATCTGGTTAAATATACAAGCATCCGTGTTGTTAAGGCGCCCAAAGTTTTGCACTAAGAGCTCTGTGACCACCAGAGGTCATTTCGGGGGGGATCGCAGTTCCCCTGGGTGAGGTACGGGGGAAGCCCCGCCCCTGCTTCCGGCCCTCATTCAGCCAGGAGGAGGCAGGAGAAGAGGGAGGGTAAGTTGTTTCCTCCCTGCCTCTCCCCACCCCTGCCTGCCTGGGGCCAGGGAGGGCCTTTGCAGGGCTTCCTTGCACTCCCGCCGGCCAGGACCGTTGAGGGCGGGGTGTGTGGCCTTATGACACACTTCTGGTGATGTCAGGGGGTGTAGCATATGCTAATGAGTTCCCCTAGCTCTTTTTCTACGAAACGACCCCTGGTGACCACTACCACCCCAACTAAATAGGTCATGGTTTTTCCATGCAAGTATGTTGTGTGTGTGTAAGCGCCATCCAGTCACTTCTGACCCTATGAATTAATGACCTCCAAAATGTCCTCTTGTTACTCAGGTCTTGCAAACTGAGGGCCCTTGTGGCTTCCTAGACTGAGTCAAATCCATCTCCTGTTGGGCCTTCCACTTTCCCTAGCATGGCTGTCTTTTCCAGTGGCTCTTGTCTTCTCATAATGTGACCAAAGTATGATGGCCTCAGTTTAGTCATTTTAGCTCCCAGGGAGAGTTCGGGCTTGATTTAATCTAGAACCCACTGATTTATCTTTTTGGTGGTCCACAGTATCTGTAAAACTCTCCAACACCAGATTTCGAATGAATTCACTTCTGAATAAACTGATTTTGCACAGTTAATTGGGCAGATCTCAGTGTATTTTCACCATCTGGGACTGAACTAGACTCTGGGGGTACAGAACGTACCTAACGGGACAGTGATTGTAATCTGTGTTAAAGCAAAGTAGTCCTGAGTTGACCAGTGTTCCCTCTAAGGTGAGTTAGTGTGCGCTAGCTCACAGTTTTTTAGCCTCCAGCTCACACGTTTTTGTCTTAGCTCCGGAAGGATGGCTCCAGAGCAAACTAGTTTATGCAGCAGCCAAATCACCTGCTCACAACTTTAATGCCAGTAGCTCACAAAGTAGAATTTTTGCTCACAAGACTCCACAGTTTAGAGGGAGCATTGGTCCTGACCTAGCAATTATTACATCCTTGGCCACACTACATTTCAGATGTGCATTTAGCACACAATAAATGTAATGTGCATGCAGCCAACGCAAGCATCACATATGGCACAAAGGCAAACTTTGATAAGGAGAGGCAGCCAGGCACAGCTCCTCACTGAAGGAGTTGTGCTTGGCTGCATCTCCTTATCAAAGTTTGCCTTTACGTCATATGTGAAATGGCCTTCAGCTCCCTAAATACTTCAGAAATATAGTCCACATTTTGACATGTTGCGCTTTATCACCCATCCACCTCCTAGTTTCTCGGGCTTCTATTACTGGGTTCTGGGGTGCGTTTTGTTTCCTCCCTTTGCAGAACTGTATAATTGTGCAACTTTTTAGAGACCCTGTGAGGTTTAGAAGGTTGCACATTTGATGAAAAATTCATCCCATATCTTCCTTCTTGAAACCATTCACACATATTCTGCAATCCACAGCCCTGGCTCCCTGTCCAGTGACTGAGTTTATACCCTGTCCTTCCCCACCCAGATGGCTTCCTACAGCCTCTTGCCTCTACCGGTGTCTTCCTAACCCTTCTCGAAACCATTTGTACCTCCTGGGGAGTGTGGGGAGCAGAGAGAAAAGGCATCCTATATCTGCTCCCCTCGTCCAGGAGTCTGACAGCCGCCCACCAGATACTCTGAGGGGTTGTTTCTAGTTCTTCCCAAGGCAGGCTGGCAGAACTGAATTCTCGCTGATTAATAAGCCGCAGCCCGGGGAGGTTAGCATAATGGTCCGGGTGCAGGTAATACGTTGGCCGCGTTTTTCAGTCTCCATTTTAAGATATTTGGTTTTTCCCTCCGGCACCACGAGGGCTAGAAACTGCCAAGTGAGATCCTTTTCATGCAGGTTGCACAGCGCTCTCCGTCGGTCTCGCTCACGGGGCCCTCAGAGAAGAAAGGGAAGAAACTTACTCAAAATCTGTCTGTTCTTTGAGTTCAGCGAGAGGCTGGAACACAAG